CCCCCCCCCACACACACACACAATAATATGCTCCCCCTGTTCCCCGCACAAAATAATATGCTACCCCCCGCACACACAAAAATAGAACAAAGAACCCCTCCTGCATCATTTTTATGGTGATCCAGTGGTTGATTAGTAAGATCTCCTGATGCAGTCCTTACTAATCCATCCTTTTGGCCGAAGCTCAGAGCTGAACTGAGTTCCAGAGCACAGCCAGCATCAGATATATGCGGTCTGCATCTCATGCAAGTCAGCTACACGTCCATAACCGCGTGCCTGACTTGTCAGCTGGCTGTGGGCCACATAGTACCAGTTCACGGGCCGGTACTTTGAGATCCTTGCTCTAGGGCAGTGGTGGCGAACCTTGGCACTCCAGCTGTGCCAAAACTACAAATCCCAACATGCATCTGCTTCTGGGAGTTATGTCTGTGGCTGTCAGAGCCTTGCAATGCCTCATGGGACTTGTAGTTCCAAAACAGCTGGAGTGCCAACGTTCGCCACCACTGCTCTAGGGCATAAAGGAAACAATTGTATTCTATGTGCCCCATTCACACCATAACGCGGGTGTGATGTGCGGTGGGCTGTAGTAAAATGTTGACATACAATGCAATGTAAGGCACTGACATGCAGGACATGAATGTAGTGTACACTTTCTGCACTCCAAATAACAATTAAAACAAAAAGTAAACTGACTTATGTTGCAATAATGCAAAGCTCTGCGGCCCACTGCTGCCATACAACAGACACTGGGCGCACGGTAAGATGCTGCGTTTATCATTCAGCTTGTGTGAACAAGCCCTAAGTGTTGTGCAAAAAGTAATTACACAACAGAGACCAGCAGAGGGCAGAAGCACACTGTTGCTGACATAAAAGCATGCTACTGATGTCTCATCTGTCAGAGAAAAATCATTATAAACTTTGAAGGAAAAAGAAAAAAAGCAAATGGAAGGGAATTTATCAAAACTGGAGCAAACAATCTGGAGCAGCTGTTCAAGGCAACCAATAAGCTTTTAGTTCATTTTCAAAGCTTGAAGTTAAATCTTAAAAATGTATTCAAGTACCTTAGGGGCTAGTTCACACCAGCCCCAGCATTGCGGCCGGAGGGTGTGGCTGTGGTGCCACTTACTTCAATGCACCGCCACACCCCCTCCTGCCCCAAAACAAAGTGAGCCGGCCGGAACGCACTGTGGCAGCACCAATTCAGAGATGATTGGAGAATCTACAGCCGAGTGATACACAAATAAGATACATTGTTGTTAATAGTTAAGGTATCTGAATGTATTTTTAAGATTTAACTCCTGAGTGTAGTGTCACTTTAAATAATAGATTCCAGCTGTTTAATGGTGATGATTTTTTTGTTGAAAAAGTGTTCCTCAGTAACAAAAAAGTCTGATGAAACAACGCGCACCATCACACCCACCTTATCGGGTCCTCACAGGCACCAAAAGGAAGTTTTCCAAATTCCAGGCCTCCAACTTCTCCACCGATAACAGCATCAATGTCTACAAATGAAGACATAACATTGTCTCTATCAACAACAATATATACACAACATACATCAAAAGAACCGGCTCAATCAATAACCTAATAACACGCACTCAAAAGACGTGGAATAAAAAAAAACAAAAAAAACAAAAACAAAAAAAAACAAAAACAAAAATCGCTGGATCCGCAAGGTTCATCCTACTGGTGCGGCTCACCAATTGTGATGTGAAGGAGTCGGTATAGGCGATCTGACTACCGGACAGGCAGCTTCCACATTCCAGAGGCTCTCCATTGTGCCCTTGGTCTGTAGGGTCCAGATACATCTCTATTTAGTAGGGATGCACCGATACTAGTATCGGTATCGATACCGAGTATTTGGGCGATTACTCGTACTCGCCCAAATGCTCCGATACCTAGCACGAGTACTTCCTGTATTATTACACGCTGCCCGGTTTCCTGATTGGCCAGGAAACGGCTCCATGCTCTCTCGTCACTTGTGATGAGAGAGCATGGAGCCGACTTCCCGGCCAATCAGGAAGCCGAGTAGCGTGCAATGACGCGCTGTCCGGCTTCCCGATTGGTCAGGAAGCTAGCAAATCCGGAAGCCGGTCGCGGTGTAATGACGCAGCGCCCAGCATTCTGATTGGCCGGGAAGCCGGCGTCATGCTCCCTCGTCATCTCATGAATCATAATATTGAGAAAGCGACCTTAAAGCATTAGTTTGTATTGCTTTAGAAAAAATGTGGCCTGTCCCTTTAAGAAAAAGTATCGGTAATGGGTGCCATACTTTTGATCAATAATACTTGATCAAAAGTATCGGTACTCGTACTCGGTCTTAAAAAAGTGGTATCGGTGCATCCCTACTATTTAGTATACAAATAGCCAACATGTTCCAGGGGCTCCTACAAATACCTCCTTTATCAGGACTTACTAAGGGAGAAAATGGCTGCTGAAGAGCTCTATGCATTCTTACACACTGTTCACAGCGATATTCAGTTTCAAGCCATCATTGTCCTATTACATGTTCTCCCTTACAGCCCTGTTAACAGATTGAATGACCCTAACCACAACCTAAGGTGATTGTGGAAAACCTTTGATGTGTAGAAGCTGCTAGCCCAGCATTCAGATGATATACATTTACAGCATCACTCTACTGCATGACAATAAGAATAAAAAATAAATACAAAAAAAAAACTCAGTGCTTTCAGCATTTTGCCAAAAGAGCCATTTTTGGCTGATATGTTTCGGCAGCCAATATATATCGGTGCATCCCTTCTTACAAGGAATGCTGCTTCTTGATGTTTTATAGTTCATTTCCTGCAGAATCACCTGGTCCCTTGAGCACTGGTCCTGATATTCTGTTTTAGGGTGACTCCTATCCTTTGTAGGGACCTATATAGCACCCCTTGTGTGTGTTAGTAAGCTGTACAGGCAAAGCAGGGCAAGCCACTTCTCCCTCACTGCCCTCTTCTCCTTACTTCCTTTTCCGTTTTCTAAGTTAGTAAATGGACAGATGCTACAGCACAGCAAGGCAATCCGCTCCCCTCTCCTCCTTTATCCTGCCTCCCGTCCTAACTTTAAAAGCTAGATGATGGACACTGTGCTCTCCCCTGTGATCTCGTACTGGACAGGAAGTTCAGGGAAGCTGAGCTGAGAGAGTTGGAGCTGTTCAGAAACATGATGACTGTAAGTGCTTGCACAAAAATGTTAAGAAATACTTTGCTGGGCAATTTATATTTGTTTGATCTGGATTCATTATTTAAAAAAAAAAGTTTGTGTGTTTAGTACTCTTTTAAAGCTTGCACCCCCCCTTCCTGCATCCACCTATGAGCCAGTAAGGATCCCAATCCTAGTGATGGGTCAGTAGGTATGAATGGGGGGGTGGAGTTAGCAGCAAGCATCAACTCTAACTGGAAGTGTGGGAGCTTGTCTGTCAGAATAGCCCGGGATCGGGACTTGGCAGGAGGGTTTGGGAGGCTGCTGCTGTATGTGCAGACATCTCTAGGTCCATCTGTAAAAAAATTAAATTAATGCAACTGGACTTGCTGTATTTTTTTTAAAAGACATTTCGCTGGCCATCCGACTAGCTTTCTCAATTCAGAATTGAGAAAGCTAGTCGGATGACCAGCGAAATAACTTCAAGATAAATACAGCAAGTTCACCAGCCTTGATTTATTATTTTAATAGATATACCATGACCTGGATGAATGAGAACCTTCACCGACATATCTCTAGGTGCCTCCATTTTATACCTGCAGCAGTTTGGATTTGTTTAAAGAAAATGTTTATTCGGGGTTAGCACACATTGTTTTATGTAACAAGGAGGATAGGGATGGTAGTTTTATCATATGGAAAGGAAAGGCAAGGGAGAGTAAAGAAAGGGAACACAAAGGGAGATGGAAAAGGAAAGGGAAGGGAGGAAGGGAAAGGAAAAAACAAAAAGAAAAACTGAACCCAAGTGATAATGTTGAGGTTGGGGGGGGCATACTATCCTACCTGGAGGTTGCTGTGGCCAGAAGTAACCCTGCCAATCCTGCAGAATATATGTGAAGCGGATGGCAATGCTCACAGGCGGGAGGGATGTCAGGGGACAAGCCTACAAAAAGGAGGAGATATTAACAGTTCACTTCAAATACCAAAGTACAAAAATCGCATATATAAATCAGTCTTAAAGCAGAACTCCAGCCAAAAATAAGATAAGAATGAATATCCCATTAAAAGATAAAACAAACCAGTTTTTTGCTGCAATATTAACCTTCAATCCAGAGATTTCCCCTGCAGTATTTATATTCTGCCTCTAGATGTCCCCAGTCTGATGGCCAGCACCATTCAACCCACTGAGTCCAGGTCATCCTGGAACCGCCCCAGCCTGTGATTGGATAGTGGAAGGAGAAGCTGCATAGTGATGAGCTCATCTCTCTGTCACTCTGCTTTCTCTTCCCATCAGCATGCTTTGTGTCAGCACGCGAATGGACCGTCTCCTTGTGCAGGAACATCTGTAGTAATTCAAGGATATTTGGCAAACAAATAACCGTTTCATAAAGTAGAAAGCGGTATCTTTAGTTACATCTTTAGTACAAATGTTCCTGTCTGTGACCTTAGTGGTCATTAGCACCAATGGTCCTGCTTGCAAAACTAATATTGATTTTAGTATTATCCGTTTAAAATATTTATTAGATTAATATAGATATTTTTTATATTATCATAGATTTGAAGAAAAAAATAAATAGAGGCTCCATGCTGCTGACTCTGTTTAACTTAACCGAAAAACAAACAGCAGATAAAGCCCCCCTCCGGTGTAGATTCTGGTCTGCTGCTTATGTGATATAATGTAATTCCCAACTCCTGACGTGGCACTGACATGACCTGACGTGGGGAGCTGACACAATGACATCAGTGCCACTTTCTGCACCTTTACACAGTGAATGCGGGGTGCCATGGTCCTCAGAGGGTGGGCTAATGACATCTTGCACAGTATGTCCTCAGTCTTCCAAGTTGAGTGAGGCTTCATTTAACCTAGAAAACTGAGGACGTCTGATGGCGAAAAAAGGAAGTACTGCAGGGCACAGCTTTGAATTGAAGACAGGTATCTCAGCCAGCACTAATGCATTGTGCTGTGGTGACCCCCCCTTGGGGATGGTCTAATGACATCTTGCACTTACAGTATGTCCTCAGTCTTCCAAGCTAAGTGATGCTTCATTTAATCTAGAAAACTGAGGACATCTTATGGCAAAAAGGAAGTACTGCAGCGGACAGCTTTGAATTGAAGACCAGTAACGCAGCCATCACTAATGCAGTGCGCCGTGGTGACTCCCCCTCAGGGGCCGGACTTATGACATTCTGCACTCAAATTATGTCCTCCGTCTTCCAGATTGAGTGAGGCTGCTATTCATTACACCCAGAAAGCTGAAGACATCGTATGGCTAAAAGAGAGTACCCCAGGGGACAGCTACTGATTAAAAGAAAGTAATGCAGCCATTGCCGATTTTCTTTCTTTTTTTAAAAAACAGCCCAAAATTGGATTATTTAAAATTTAAAATAACCAAAATTGAATACATTATTTAAATATTTGTAGAAAAAAAATGATTATGTCAGATCTGTCCGTTCTCACTCAACGTACAATTTTGGATTTGAAGATGTCCAGGAGCCCCGACAAGTGCGTGTACTGATTGGGCACTTTCCTTAAATGGACCATCTCGAAGTCCGTCCGCACTCCCGGCCCCTGACACTCGCCCACGTAAAGTTTCCTCCACTTCTGATGAATCTGCACAAAGACTGGAACTTGGCTGCAAAACATCAAAATTTATTATCGTCATCCGCCCCCGATTCCTACAGCGGAACTGCAAAAAAAAA